GTGAGAAGACAATTCTGTGAACTCAGTTTACTCCTCCCAGTTCACATGGGCTCCAGAAACCAAACTGAGGTTGTCGGCACGCACAGCAAACACTTTACCGGCTGAGCCATCTCACCAGTCCTGGTAACATTTTGGTTTTATTTGTTTTGGTTTTGGTTTTGGTTTTTCGAGACAGGATTTCTCTATAGCTTTGGAGCCTGTCCTGGAACTAGCTCTTGTAGACTAGGCTGGCCTCGAACTCACAGAGATCCACCTGCCTCTGCCTTCCAAGTGCTAGGATTAAAGGCAGGAGTCACCACCACCCGGCCCTGGTAACATTTTTATAAAGTTAAACATATACTACAACACATACTAGGAATCTCCCTCCTAGGTATTTATTGTAAGAAAATGAAAACTTATGTTTATATAAAAACTACTACAAAATTGTCCATAGCATTCCATTCATAATTGTCAGAAACTGGAAAAGTCCAAAGGACGTGTAGTAATAAACAGACAAGAAAACTGTAGCACACCCATGAAGCAGAACCCAGCTCAGGAAAAATGAGAACTACAAATATATACTACAGTGATATTTTATTATAAAGCACAAATAATCTGAAGATTGGAACACAAAGCCAACCACACTAGTCAGTCGTACAGGCCAGGCAGCCACACTAGCTAGCCATAGAGACAGGGGGGTGGGGGGTGTATGCCTTATCCCTTTAATCCCAGTAGCCACACTACTAGTTAGTCATAGAGGCAGGGGGGTGGTGGTGCACGCCTTTAATCCCAGCACTAGAAAGAAACATAAAGCCGGATAAGACAGGGACTAGACCTCTTTCATTCTGAAGATTTCGTTGAGGTAAGAGCTCTCTAGTGGTTGACTGCTTTGCTTTTCTGATCTTCAGATTAAACCCAATATCTGTCTCTGGGTTTTTATTACTCATGCTACAATACACAGCATGGGTAAAGCTCAAACATTACCCTAAGTGAAAGAGGCCTGTGCAAACAGCCTATCAGTGTGAGTCCATGAATATGACATGACCAGGAAGACAGAAATGAACACCGCTAGGATGGGAAGGGCAGCTCTGAAAGGGCTGCCTGCAGTCATGAGCCTGCTCTAGATCTGAACAGTGATGACAGTCACAGGAACCTGCATTTTAGAGACCCGAGCTCCAAAATAAACAATTTAAGCTCCAAAGCTAATTTCACTGTAAGATAGTTCTGAGTATAATTATAATTTTTTAATCCTTCCATCCTGACAAACTACGTAAAGAATATTTTAAACTTGGAACTTTTAAGTAGACCATCTACGTTTAAAAAAAAAATCTCTCAAGAACAAAAAAAAGAAAAAAAACTATGCTGGATAGTGGTGGCACACACCTTTAATTCCAGCACTTGGAAGGCAGGGGCAAGCAGATCTCTATGAATTGGAGGCCAGCCTGGTCTACAAAGCAAATTCCAGGATAACCAGAGCTGTTACACAGAGAAACCCTGTCTTGAAAACTAAAACCAAACAAACAAAAATCTCTCAAGCTCAGAAAACAGAAAGAAGGAAAGGAAGATTCAAAGAGCTAAAGGTCCAGGGGCTGGAAAGATAGCTCAGCAATTAAGAGCATTGGCTAGGCTTGCAGAAGATTCAAGTTCAGTTCTAAGCACCCACATGGTGGCTAGCGATATCTAATAACTCCGGTCCTTGGAAATCCATCCTCCTCCTCTGGCCTCCACAGGCACTGCACACGTGGTACACTTACATACAGGCAAAACCCTCATACACATAAAATTAGAAATAGATAAATCTTTCAAAAGAAAAAAGACGAAAAGGTCCAGAGGCAAACAGCATCTCTGAACATAAATATCTAATCACTCGTTTGCCCACAGCAGCTAAGGCTGCCTGCAAAAGACCTGCACAAGGTCAAGCAGGGAACATTCCAACAGAGAGGAAGCTGAGAGGTTACTGACTGCTGATGGCTGGCCAGGGGAGGGAGAGTCAGTTTTCTTTAGGGGGTATGGTCCATTCTTATCTGCCCTCCTGCAACCCACCACACCCTGTTTAGTGTGTGTGCGTAGGCCCCACGCCACAGCACACATGTGGAAGACAGAGGACTACTGTGCTAGTAAGTCATCTCATTACATCACTTAACCAAGCATTTGACTATAAGTTTGTCAGGCTGGTTTATCACGTACCTTTCCCCCGCCCCCTCTCTCACCAGCCTCTGGGAGATGTTTCAGAAAACTTGGTTGAGAGAATTAATGCTATAGTGAGTGTTAGGCTGCACCATCTGGTGTATGGAATACATTCGGGATCTCTTTAAGCTTCTTTATAGCTCTGCTTATATCTTGCCCTGACAAGGCTATTTAAAAAGTGACCTATATGCAGAACCTGCAGGTGCTTAAGAGACAAGCGACCTGAAAATACTACAACCTAACAAAACCCTTCCTGCACAGCATCCCACTCCATCACACGGCCCGGGTGTCCTCTGGAGCACACTCTATAAAGAAGAGGCTGGAAGCGCAACTTCTGCCTCTTTTATCCCTCCCTATGACAAAAACAACACAGAAGAACATCTAGGATTGGCAAAAGCAGGGAAAACACCTAAAGAAAATTTTGCTTTCGAATACATAAATTTCTTGAAGATGATTTGGATAACTACATGAAAAGACTCAAATACACACACTCCTTTTCCACTTCTAAGAATTCAAGTAAGAAACAAATCAGACTACTCAGATCAGTGTCATTACGATAATGAAAAACAGGAAAATAAAGACTGTGTTAGATGGAATACTAAGTAGCATTCAAAAAACTAAGTTATCTGAGCCAGGGATGATGTCACATCTTGTCATCTCAACTGCACAATAGGCTGAAGCAGGAGACTGCGAGCTTCAGAATAGCCTGGCCTGGGCAACACTGACAAAGCCCCTATCATAGAAGAAAGGAAGGACGTGGGGGAAGGCAGAGAAAACAGAAAAAAATCATTTGAAATCTGTTATGTCACTTTAGCCTTGACTGTTGTCATTTCATATTTGATCTCCAAAGAACAGTTGAAAGTTTGATGGCTTTGTCCAATGACAATACAGATAGACTGCTGTTCCAAACGAAGCAGAACATAAAATCACACATACGCCAACGAGGCTTGGTTTTTTATTTGTTTTTTTTTTTTTGGACAGGGTCTGGCTCTTTAGCTCAGCCAGCCTCAAACTCAAGCTCTTTCCACTCTCAGCCTCCTGAGTGCTATGGGATCTGTAATTGCTTCATGACCTTTATTCCTTTTGTTTTCTAACTCTGCTTTTGCTTTTGTTTTTTAAAAAGTCTCACTATTGGGGGCTGGACAGATTGCTCAGCAGTTAAGAGCTCTGGCTGCTCTTCCAGAGGTCCTGGTTCAATTCCCAGCTGCAATATGGTGGCTCACAACCATCTATAATGAGATCTGGTACCTTCTTCTGGCCTGCAGACAGAACACTGTGTACATTATAAGTAAATCTTTAAAAAAAAAAAAAGGAGGGGAGGCTGAGTCAGGCAGATCTCTGTGAGTTCGAGGCCAGCTGGTCTACAAAAGCTAGGTCCAGGACTGACTCCATAGCTACAAAGAAATTCTGTCTTAAAAAACCAAAAAAAAAAAAAAAAAAAAAAAAAAAGTAAGTGCTGTGGGAACTCCTGTATTGTAATAATAAATGACTATTTATCCTAGACTGACCTTGAACTCTAGATTCTCTTACCTCAGCCTGGAATGCTCAGATTTCAAGCATGCACCACCATGCCTTTCTAAAGTTTATTCATCTGTTATCCTAGTCACAAGAATTTCACTGTTACTGCTGGGCGGTGGTAGTTCATGCCTTTAATCCCAGCACTCAGGAGGCAGAGGCAGGTAAATCTCTGAGGCTGACATGGTCTACAAGAGCTAGTTCCCGGACAGGCTCCAAAGCTATAGAGAAACCCTGTCTCAAAAAGCCAAAAAAAAATAAAAAATAAAAAATTCACTGTTATATAACCATTATGGAGGCAGATTTATTTTTCTTTTTGATGTGTATAAGTGTGTGGGTACTACATGTATACCTGGTGCCCACAGAGGTCAGAAGAGGACATTGCATCTCCTAGAACTGGAGTTATAGGCAGTTCTGAACCACCAGATGGATGCTGAGAACTAACCCAGGTCTTCTGGAAAAGCAGTAAATACTCTTCACCTTTGAGCCATCTGTCCAGCCCTACAATTCTATACACCAATTTGTCTTTACCACACAACTGCCTGGAGGCAGAAGATCAGCAGATAATGGTACTTCCTTCATCCTGCCACCCAAAAGGCTTGGTGGTGTGGAACACTGTATACACAGAAACAGCCTTCTCTGCAGGCATGATGGTATGCATCTGCAATTCCAGTATTTGGGAAGTGTTGGCAGGAAGAATCAGAATTCAAAGTCATCCTCAGCCGCATAGCAATCCAGTCCCAGAAGATCCCATGTCCTTTTCTGGCCTCAGACACCAAGCAACACATGCCACACGGACTACATGTAGGCAAAACTCGTGTATACATAAAATAACCGGAAATTAAAAAGACTAGAGGATTGGGGAGATGGCTCAGTAGGTAAAGTGCTTACTGCACAAGCAAGAGGATCCAGTTTCAGATTCCCAGCACCCACAGAAAAGCCAGGTGCCATGGCAGCTATCTGTATCTTCAGTATGGGGGGGGGGTGCAGCGACAGAAGGATCCCAGGGGCTAGCTGACCAGCCAGCACTGCCAAATGGCAAGCTGTAGGTTCAATGACAGACCATGTCTCAAAATAGAAGCTGGAGAACAGGAAAGAGGGAGGACATCTAACCTCCACAAGGGCGGGTAGACCACACGCACACACATACATAAATAAATAAATAGACAGATAGACAGACAGACAGAGAGAGATAAATCTTTAGAGCGATGCTCCACATCTTATATCAAAACCTATGGGGAGGTATGTCTATGTTCCTGTTTGAATTATGAACCATTTCATGCTGTTTAAGAAAATTTTTGATTTTGTTTTCTACTTACCATGGAGCACTTCTCCAGCACTTCCTCCTGGAACTTCAGAAATCTTTCCTGCACTTCAACTTCACTGAGGAAGAAGGACAGGAAGTGAGTGAAGGGCTGCCTCCTTCTAAACGTGTCCAGAAGAACGTCAATCCGAGTTCGGGCTGAAATCACGCCATTTCGATGCTGACCAGTAATCACTGCAAGCAAAGGAAAGAAAACATTAAGAGGCTCAAGAACCCACAAGTGCTTGACAGGTAGACGTCATCTGATACTATCATCTCTAGGGATCACCAAGGCGAAGAAACTGCTAGTGAATTCGATGTCAACAGAATAAATTTGAAAATAAAGTATCTGGGGGTGGGAAGGTCAGAAAAGGGCTTACAGCACAAGCACTAAGACCTGAGTTTGGCCCCCAGATGTGGAAAGCACATCTGTAACTCCAGTGTTTAGAAGTGGAAACAGACCCTGGGGTTCGTTGGCCAGGGTTTAGCCAAATCAGCAGTTTCAGGTTCAGTGAGAGACCCTATCTTTAAAATAAACACACAGATAAATAATTAAGATGGAGATCAACTGAGGAAGAAAGACACTTAATACCAACCTCTGACTTCCACATGCAGAGATGCATGCACACCTACAGGAACACGTGAACAACACGCACACATAAGAACATGGTCACCCGTGTCTCTCTCTCTCACCCCCTCTCTCTTGCCCAAGTATCTGAGCCAGGACTGCAACCCAAGCATTTGGGAGATAGTGATAGAAGGATCAGGAGTTCAAGGCCAGCCTCACCTACATAATGAATTTAAGGCCAGTCTGGGTACCCTGACTAAAAAGAGAGGGGTTTGGGGAGGATCACTGAGATGGTTCAATGGATAAAGGCACTTACTGTTGTCAAGCCTGACAACCTAAATTCAATCCCCAGAACCTGCCTACTGGAAGGAGAGAACCAACTCCTGTACATTGTCCTCTGACCTCCATATATGTGTCATGGCACTATGTACCCACACACAGACATACACACACTAAATAATTTAATTTAAAAAATGTGAAGGATGGTGCTGGAGAGATGACTTAGAGGTTAAGGGCATTGCCTACTCTTCCAAAGGTCCTGAGTTCAATTCCCAGCAACCACATAGTGGCTCACAACCATCTGTAATGGGGTCTGGTGCCCTCTTCTGGCCTGAAGGCATACACACAGACAGAATATTGTATACATAATAAATAAATAAATAAATAAATATTTTTAAAAATGTGGAGACTGGGTGTGTTTCTGCACATCTGTAAAAAAATAAATAAAAAGAACTAAGCGTGCCATGTACTGGTGGTGCACGCTTTTAATCCCAGCACTCAGGAGGCAGAGACAGGCATATCTTTGCGAGTTTGAGGCCAGCCTGGTCTACAGAGTGAGCTCCAGGACAGGCTCCAAAGCTACAGAGAGACCCTGTCTCAAAAAAGAAAAAAAAATACAAACTAAGTGCAAACATAAATGATGTCTAAGTCTCACCAATTTGTCCTTCTTGTCCAGGTTTAGGAATGTTAATAGATGTTTTCGTCTCCATTTCTATTTTCTTCTTGGTATCCCCTCTCTTTCCAACTATGTGCCTATAATACGGAAAAAAAAATACATGTTTAAGTTGCATACAGCCAGAGACACTCCCTAAGAGAAAGACACTTCAATAAAAGTGCAGTATTAGTAGTGTAAGTCACCAGGCTTCACAGAGCAAGCTCTCTTCACTCACAGGCAAAGGGGATCACTGACTCAGTGTGTAACCAGAAGACCCATGGCAGCAGCAGGCAGGGCACTGTCTGACAGCAGTGGCTAAGAGCTCACAAATACAAGGCAGAGCGTAAGTGAGACTGGGCCTGCTGTGGATTTTGAAATCCCAAAGCCCACACCCAGTGACACATCTCCTCAACAAGGTCACACCTCCTAATCCTTCCTAAACAATCCACTGACTGAGATCCAGACATTCAAATACAGGAGTCTATGGGGACTATTCTCATTCAAAACACCACAAACGGTAAAGGGCTCGGAAAAGAGATCAGGAATACCATTCAGATAGTCTGTAGAACACAGAAGAACCATGCTTGGTAAGATCTGGAATCAGAATTCAGGAGGCTGAGGAAGGAAGATCACTAGTTCAAGACTAGCCTGCGATACACACACACACACACACACACACACACACACACACACACACGCGCGCGCGCAGGCGCGGGGGGGGGGGGGGGGGAGAAAAGAGGAAAAACAGGAAGTAAACATGTAACCCTAAATTAAGCACAGCACACATTGTTTAAGAGATTTCACCGCAAATATATATTATAATATTATATTATCACTATACATATTATATACTGTATGTGTTTGTGAATGGCCAGGTTCTGAGATACTGACAATCTGATGACTCACAGCAACCAGAGTGGAGACAACTTTCAACACTCCCCTGCAAATGAGACTAACTCATCACAACCCCACCATTCCCTCCCAGCTTTAGCCATCTACTACCGACTAATCTTCCAGCAGGTATGTGGTGCATACCTGTAATCTCAGCAGTTGGGAAACTGAAGCAGGCAGACTGCAAGTTCCAGGTTGGGGGAAGAAGAAAGGAAAGAAAGAAGAGGGTAGGGGCTCAGGGGGAAGACTTCTCAGCCAATGGTATCTACTAATTAGGACCAACATCTAATCTAGTACCCATATGTTCATCAGGAACACAAGAACTTAGGAGTCTACAGAATTCAAAAGTCCATCATCAGAATTAGACATTTAAGGAATTTTTACATACATCAGCAGTAGACCTATGTACACTAACACATGTTACACTCATTTTGTTTTTCAGGAAGCTGAGTCACGTCATTCTGAAATCATATCTTCTAGGAGAAAATGTCATCAGAGCCTAGGAACAGAATAAGTAAGCTGTCAGGGTTAACTTTGGCTTCCCATTGGCTACATTCAAAGAGAATTTTATCCACAGTAGGTATTTCAGAATGTTCTCAAGGATGAAACTATTAGCCTTCAAACGCATTTGAGTTCATATTTGTAGCTCTCCTCCCTGAGTGGACCTAACTCATCCAATATAACAAAAAACAGCAAAGACTCATGGACTTTTTAGACCACTTGATCTTCCGAGGCAGTGAGCTTCTGACAACATTCTATTAGTGGTTAACAAGGGGGAGACCAAGAGAGAGCATGCACATAAGCACATGCGGAAGTCACCGCAGAGTACATAAGCAACTCACAACAGTAATCCTCGAAAAAGCACGCCAGTCTTGGCAGGCACTGAAGATTAATGGAACAGACAAATCCCTGCCTTCTAGAAGCATCCCATACAAACACAGACTATGATAAACACCACAAACCACATGCAGAGGCATTACAAACACATACAGCAGGATAATCAGTGATTGGCAGGGATGGCTGGGATCAAAGCAAGCTTCTCTAGGAAGGAGAATATAACCAGGTGAGAAAGAAAAAGACGGAGGCAAAGGGCATAGCACACACATGAACTCAAAGGATGAAAAAAACCACAGCACATATGAGGAACTAAAAATACCAGGTGGGTGTTCTAACCTTAAGAACAAGGCAGAGAAAGACCTAAAGCAAAAGGAAAAGAAAACAAAATGCAGAATCAGCTAAGGGCATATTCATGACTTTGGCCACTGCTTTAAGGAACCAGAATTCCATCTGACAAGTTTTTTAAATGCATTACTAGTGTGTCATGTGTATACACAATCACATATGTGGGGTCGCCCACCACAGCACGATGCATGGAGACCAAAGAAGAACTTTGTGAGGTTGGTTACCACCTTCCATCTCCACAAAGGTTCCAGGGATGAAACTCAGGTTGCCAGGCTTGCACGGTGAGTGCCCTTACCTGCTGAGCCATCTCGCAAGCCCCCACAGGTGGATTTTAAGCAGAAGTGGTAAAATAATCAGATTTTCCTTTTAAAAAGATCATTCCAAGCCAGGTGAGGTGATGGACATCTATCATCTCAGTAAATGAAAGGCTGAGGCAGGAGTTCCATGACAGCCTTAACAATAAAGCAAGACCATGTCTCAAAAAAGAAAAAAATTAAAGGGGAGGTGGGGAGCTGGAGAAATAGCTCAGTAGTTAAAAGCACTGACTGCTCTTCCAGAGGACTGGGCTTAGAATTTCTAGCCCTCATATGGAGGCTAGGAACTCCAGTTCCAGGGAATACAGTGACCTCTTGTGGCCTCCACAGGCACTGCATACACATGGTGAACAGACATACATGCAGGCAAGACAACAACTCACATAAAAACAAATCTCAAAAACATGGTTTTAAATCATTCCACTTTCAGTGTGAAGGACTACGCAGAGAGCTGGAGTGTGGAGAGACTGTTGCAGTTATTTTAAGAATTCCACAGAAGCCCTTGCAGCTCTTGCAGAGGACCCAGGTTCAGTTGAGAGAATCCACACCATGTGGCTCACCGCTACCTATTAACTCCAGTTCCAGAGGATTGAATAAATTCCTCTATGCTCTTTGGGCACCAGACACATAGGCAGTGTACATACATACATGTAAACATTCACACAGACATATTAGATAAATATTTCTTTTAAAAAAAGAAATCCATAGGAAAAAAGAGGTAGCCGTGAAGATAAACGGTAGGTCCAAAGGACATTTTAAAGTGAAAGTCAACAGGATGTGGCAATAAACAGAGAATGATTAGATTACTCTGTAATCAGTCCTCTGACATTTCAGGACTCAAAATACTAAACTCTTTCATCATCAGGAATCAAGCAGCACAGTAAGTGTGAAAGACTCAAGAGCTGGCTTCCTGCTGGGTTCCCTGGAAGTACTGTCCCCTGAAGCTGATGGGAACTCACTCACTTGTAGAGCAGGCTAGGGGCACTGACAGTGGCCCGGAATCCTTGAGGGATCTGCTGTACCTCATAGGCATCACAGGGCTCATCAGAATATTCCATGGAGTCTGCAAAGAAACCATAACATCTCTGAACGCTGCCGCTCAATGGAAAGCAGCCTCCTCCCCTCTGCCAATCACTCTCGGGGGTTTAAGACAAGAACAGGTGCGAGGAGCAGCTTGACTGACTACTGCTTTAGTGTCCCCCCTTGTCCGCTCATAGAAGAAATAAAGAATAAAAAGAACATGGTGGCTATTGTAAATCCTTCATCTCAGAACCTTGGGAAGGCAGTACATACATATCAATATTTAGATGTTTCCTCTTAGAGAGTCAAGATGCCGACTGGGCAGTGGTGCTGCACTCCTTTAATCCCAGCACTCGAGAGGCAGATGCAGGGGGATCTCTGTGAGTTCGAGGCCAGCCTGGTCTACAGGACAGGCTCCAAAGCTACAGAGAAACCCAGTCTTGAAAAACCAAAAAAAAAAAAAAAAAGAGTCAGGATGCCTAAACAACATGTTTTACTATTATTCTATTCAGATGAAGTTCACATAATATAAACTCAGCCTTTTAAAATCTAATACTTTTTAGTATTAGAGCACAGAATTACTTTAATAAATTATTAATAAATAAGGATGATACTAAGAGAATTTATTCCTTAAAATCTCAACATAGAGAAAAGAGAGGCCAGGCCTTAGGCCTGAAGGAATTCCAGGCTGAGGCCGGGAGGCCAAGGCAGGAAGAGTATCAGCCTGAGTTATATAGTAAGGATATTGAGAGAGACACACAAAAAGAGTAAGAATGAAAAAGAGGAGCCCAAGGCTCAAGGCTGACAACACACTGTAAGAAAGATCACGGGGAAAGTGACCCCCAAAGTTAAGGTATGGTAGAAATCCTTAGGAACCAAAAAGGGGCAACTGCAAAGAACTGAAAGGCCCTGCTCTAAACCAAACCACATGGCCATTGCCCTGAAAATGTTTATTACCCACCTCAACTATTTATTTCTACTTACAAGGTTACCATATGTAAAATAAAGTTAGTTGGGTCTCTGGGACTGTCAATGCATGACTACCAGGAAGAAAGAAAAGAACAACAGTTAACATTATCTGAATCTGAACTAAAGTCTGCACACGTTTATTCAATTGCTGATATTCTTAGCCAGGCATGGTGGTGCACACCTTTAATCCCGGCACTCAGGAGGCAGAGGCAGGGAAATCTCTATTAGTTCAATGCCAGCCTGTTCTACAGTGATTCCATGACAGCCAGATCTACAGGATAAAGAGACTCTGTCTCAAAAAAAAAAAAAAAAAGCAAAACAAAACAAAAAATGATGGGCCATGGTAGTGCACACCTTTAATCTCAACACTCAGGAGGCAGAGGCAGGTGGATCTCTGAGTTTACAGAGTTCCAGGACAGCCAGAGATACACAGAGAAACCCTGTCTCAAAAATAATTCATCTATTTATTCACTCATTCGGTCATTCATTTATTCATTCACTCATTCATGTTCTTTCACAGGCAAAGAGATTCAATTTTGACCCAGAATATTTTTTTTTTCGAGACAGGGTTTCTCTGTGGTTTTGGAGCCTGTCCTGGAACTAGCTCTTGTAGACCAGGCTGGTCTCGAACTCACAGAGATCCGCCTGCCTCGGACTCCCAAGTGCTGGGATTAAAGGCGTGCGCCACCACTGCCCGGCTTTGACCCAGAATATTAAAAGTTAGTACTAATAACTAACTGCAATTTCTTCACACAGGGGCTCTGCAGCTAGGAGCCCTTGATGCTCTTGCAAATGACCTGCGTTCAGTTCCCAGCACCCCACACTGGGCAGCTCACAACCACCTGTAACTCCAGCTCCAGGAGATCCAGCACCCTCTTCAGGCTTCTTTGGACACCCTTGATCATATCTACGTAAGTGCACGCATGCACACGTGCACACACACACACACACACACACACACCTCTAAAAATAATAATGAGTAAAATTACTCCTCGTTGCATTTAAGCCTCTGTACAAGATGAAATATGTCTTGACTTATGAAATGCAACCAAGAACGGCTCATTTGAGAGCAGCTTTGTCAGGATCACTGAACAGCAAGAAACAAAGAACTGCCCCTACAGTACAAGAACATACAGTACAAATACTTCTCATCTGGCCTAAGAGCAACTAGAGTTACCTTGATAGAAACCCTCATCTTCTTCATGGTGATAGTTCTTTTCCTGGATGGGATTCTTCCTGTAATTCCGTCCATCGAGTGTTATAATCTGTGGGCGGAGAACATCCATGACACTTTCTCCAAAGGATGCTCTAGTAAAGTCCTGAAAAAGACAAACCATCTTTTTACCTTTTTTTAATTAGAAATAAAAACGTATGTGGGTAGGATGACTGAACAGGTAATGGCACTTGCTCCCAAGGCTGATGACCCACGTGGCAGAAGAAGAAAACTTGACTCCTGCAGGCTGTCCTCTGAACATGCAGCCAGGAAGCACAGGCGCAGACAAAATAAATAAATGGAATAAAATAACTAAGCCGGGCGGTGGTGGTACATGCCTTTAATCCCAACACTCGGGAGGCAGAGACAGGCGGATCTCTGTGAGTTCATGGGCAGCCTGGTTAACAAGACCTAGTTCCAGAATAGGCTCCAAAGCTACACAGACAAACCCTGTCTCAAAAAACAAACAAACAAACAAAAAACATTAAATTAAAAGCCTCCATTATATGGACCATTATGTATGCCTGAATGGACATAACTGGGCAGTAATTCATAGCACATCCTAAGAAGAATATTGTTGCTTTTCATTGGCCTGCCGCTGCATGTAAACTCTTATAAGGCAAGGACTGCATTTCCTATCATTTATTACATCCCTGACTCATTCTAGACAGTGACTTGTAATCAGTCCTCCGATAAGAGGCATTAGTAGTATATAACCTGCCAGTGACTTTGAGAGAACTTAGGTATCTGATTACTTTAACCTAAAGGTGAGTGCAGTCTTGACATCTACCTAACCATAGGCAAAGTGCTTCGTTCTTCCTATCCAACACAATAACAAAATGAGGAGCCATTCAAACAATATCCACGGAAGAGTGCTAAGTTTGTGTAAAGGCGCTAGACATGCACACCTAACAATCAGATCTAATTTCCCTATCAAAGTACAACTCAAATATGATTTAACACAGTCTCAGACCAACACATCCGTGAGAAGGAACAGTTTCTGGAGGTCGCTGCCCTACCAAGTGCTGCATCACTTCCTGAGAAAAGCGAAATGCCTAGTCACCACTCGAGTCAATAGTTGGGAAATAAAGGCCCCTTATGAACTAGCGGTGGTTAAGTCCAACCCATGTTCCCATCACAGACGGCTGGGTCTTCAAGCCCATGTACTTAAAAGTGCCAAAGAAAACATTGTAAGCCCAACCCTCTGCCAAGTCGCTAATCGGGAGCCGCCAGCACAGAACCAAGGCGAGGGGTTGTGCTTTTGAGAACACAGAACGTCAACGTTTACGAGAGGATGCAATTATCAACAGCCTCGACATGACACCCTGGTGGGCTATTCCTTTAGCCTACCCTCCCCACCTAGGAACAAAAGTAGCCTTTGGACAGGAAAGTTGGGGCCCTGAGAGCGAGGTGGCTGTGGTGCACACTCATCTACCTTTCCTGCGCAGCTCCGGGCAGAGAGACTGCGCACAAGGACGGAAACCGACTAGCCAGCCCTGTGTCATGGAGACTGGGAGGAGAGGCATATATGTCTTCGTGTAACTATCGTGGGAGAAGTGGAAGTCCTAAACTATAAGAGAAAACAAAGGACCCCTACGCCAGAGGCAGGTACCAGAAAACACCGCAGCAGCAAGATAACCAGAACCCCCGAGGTGACAGGGTGGGAGTGACCCGGAAGTGTTCCCCGAAAGCTCGCTCTCCGCCCAGCTCTGGCCACGCCCTCGGTGCGCACGCGCGATAGCCTCGACACCCCCCGCCCCCGGCACAGGGGCGGGCGCACACAGAGCGGGCGGGCAGGCATGCGCACGCCACCGTCTACGTCGTAGTGAACGAAGCTGCACTTCTTGGTCCAGAGGGCGGGGCTTTCAGTCAAAGTACACAAGCTACTCAGGTAAGTAGCCAAGGCTTCCAGAACCTTCGGTGGTTCGATGGGGCGTTGAGCCCTACGATCCTACCTGCCAGGACTAACAGAGGGTGGAAGGAGACCCTGGAGGCTCTCCCGCGCCGGGCGTGTGCAAAGCACTGTCCGCCGACTGAGCATGCGCGCGGAGGGTTGGCGCCTGCGCAGTGGGGCGGCCGCGAGCCCCCCCCCTGCTTCCTCCCCAGTTGCTGGGTTGGAAGCGTGCATTGGGTGGAGTCAGCGTAACCAGGTCTGGTGTGCCGACTCCTCCCCGGCCCGGTTCTTCTTTCCACCCAGAGGTGCTGCCTCTATTTTATTTGGTTTAGATGATAACCGTCTTTTGAGGTGGAACACACTGGAAGGATCTGTGGGTCCGACAACAACGGTTGTCATAATTAGCCTTCGTACTGGATCCGATCGACTTAAGTATCTGGTTTGTTCTAAGACTTAATTTTAACAAAATTTTGTTTTGTTTTCTTTGCTTTTAAGAAAATAAGCATAGGGGGCTGGAGAGATGACTCAGCGGTCAAGAGCATTGCCTGCTCTTCCAAAGGTCCTGAGTTCAATTCCCAGCAACCACGTGGTGGCTCACAAGCATCTGAAATAAGATCTGATGCCCTCTTCTGGCCTGCAGGCAGACACACAGACAGAATATTGTATACATAATAAATAAATAAAATATTTTTAAAGAAAAGAAGCATAAAGTAATTTATGAGTGCAAGGTCATTTCTGTCTTAACACAAAGTAAGTATTTAACTGAGCCATATTGTGTCCCACAAATGTTCCTTTTCCTCTGAGCTGTTCTGCTGTCAGCAGCCCCAAGTTCCAAGAATTATCAGCATTCAGCAAACTATACTGAGTGTTTCTTATGGGCCTGGCAACCTCCTGGGAAGCAAAATTGTATACTCCGCACAGTGAAAACAACCAGAACGGACTGACCTTTGTGACTTCGACCATCTCTGTCCCCTGCAGTCTCTACTGAGCTGCCAGCTCCTGTTCTATGATTTATAAATCATTCATTTGTCCAGGGAACATTGTGATAAGGATACATAAGCGATTTGTGTCCTGCTTTCCAACTCGACAGGATCCTTTCCACTGCCTTCCACATACTAAGCAAATGCTCTACCACTGAACTGTATGTCTCCAGACCCAAGATCACAGACGAGATTTTTACATGTGTGTGTGCCCATGCATGCAGAGCCTTTAAGCTTATGTCTGATGTCTTCTTCCATAGCTTTCATAACTTCCCTGAACCCAGAATGGGTCCATTCCCACTAATCTAGCTACCCGTCCTGCTATTGGGAGTTGCTTATCTTTAACCCCAGTGCTGGGGTTACAGGCAGCTCCCACACCTGCAAAGCTGGTAAGTGAGGTCCGGGAATCCCCAACTCCTCCAGTGCAAGCACTTTCTCCATGGAGCCATCTTCGCAGACCCGGTGCAGAACAAGATGAGAAGTGAGCATGCCGACTGAGGGTGTAGCCCAGAGGTAGAATGTGTGAGGTGCATCACAGATAAGGCTGTCAGCCTTCCCAGCAGACAGACCCTTCCCTTCCAGGAGTCTCAACGTAGCTATGTCAAAGAGAATCTGAAATACTTGGCTCTGCATCAGGAAAACTAGGTGTGATAGTGCATGCCTTAATTCCAACACTCAGTAGGCCAACCCTACAGGGTCTGGGCTACAAAGCAATAGTCTAAAAAAATTAATAAAAACAAGCAGGTGTCAGTGTTTATTACTGGTTTTTGTTTCTTCTTAAGATATTGTTTTTCCTAAGCCTGAAGCTGTTCTAGTTGCTTTCCCTGTATTGATCTAACCTTCGTAACACTTCTATAAGGTAGGCGCTATTATTGATTCCATTTTACAGATGAGACGTCTAAGGAAGAAAAAAGCCAACTGATTTGATTTGTCCAGTCACACAGCAGATAGCAAAGCCAAGATTGGTTGGTTGGTTGGTTTTGTTTTTTCAAGACAGGGTCTCCTCTGTGTATCTTTGGCTGTCCCTGGAACTTACTCAGTAGACCAGGCTGTCTTCTATCTCACAGAGATCCGCCTGCCTCTGCCTCCCGTAGTGCTGGGATTAAAGGCGTGCGCCACCATACCCAGGGGCAGCCAGTTTTTAATAGCTTATTATTGTTTAATGATTTATTTACTTTTATTTGCATGTGTATCTCTGTGTGTGTGTGTGTGTGTGTGTGTGTGTGTGTGTGTGTGTGTGTGTGACCAAGGAGGCTAGAAGACAGCAGATCGCCCAGAGCTGGGGTTGCAGGTGAATGTGAGCCACCAAACTCCAGTCCCCTGCAAGAGCAGCAAGCACTCTTCGCCTCTGAGCCAACTCTTCCGCCCCCACAGTCAGCCCTCAGTCACTGTGCTAGCTTACTCTCGTGCACAACAGCATATCAGCAAGCCATTGCTTCAGATATTAGGTGACCTTTAGGAAGTCAGTGGTTCCTGTGAGCTGTGTGAGCATGCTATGAACATGCTTAAGTGAGTGGCTACTTAGAATGACACTAATCACTTAGTTCATCCCTATGCTCAGCATTTAGAGTCTAGGGTTTGTTGTTAGCTTAACTCCTGATGGCATTCAGAACTAGAGACTGGAGTTGTAGCTCAGGATGGAACCTGTGGAACATTCACAGGACCTGGCTCCTCCTCCAGCACCAGCAAGAGAAGAAACAAACAAAAAACCTTAACAAATCTTTAGAACCAGGGATCTTACTTGTGTGTCTCTGCGTCTCAGCAGAAGACAGCTTATTTAAAGCTAACCTTGCACTGATTTCGAGCTCTTTTTTTCACCCCCCGACTATTTTTTATATGGAGCAATAGTAGTTTGGAGAATTGGGAAGAAAATAGGACGAAAGGAAGTTCCTTTGATGACCTTCAGTTACAGAGTCACTGTGGCTAGCCTTTGAAGTTAGCTGGCCACTGCTTGGGTGCTCTGTCAGGCAGCTGATCTCGAAATACAAAACACAAAGCATTCACAACTAAATGGAACATTATCAGGGTGGAAGTTGAAGAGATCAGAGTTTAAAATCTTAATTGAGAAAAATAAACAGTTCTCAGGGGTTTCTGCTCTGAGCTAGGGGGGAGTAAATCCAGAGCTGCTCTCTGGGGGAGAGGCCGAATGGTCTACGTGATTTATTTGATCCCCCCAGGAATCCAGTTAGAGATTTGAACCCGGTACATCAATACTTAAGTCTCTTTTAAGGAACACTTAAAACTTTACCAGGCTATGTTTTGAGCCAGTATGGTGCAAAGGAGCAGTTAGAAATCATCCCACACGAAAGATTGCTTGCCCTGATGCGTACAAGTACAGTTCAGAAAGTAACCCAAGAGCAAAATTAAAAGTATTATTACTAAGCTGGGCATGGTGGGCATACCTTTGATACCAGCACTGAGAAGCAGGCAGAATTCTGTGAGTTTGAGGCCAACCTAGACTACATAGCAAGTTCTAGGACAGGACAGCCAGGGCTACATAGTGAGAGCCTATTTAAAAACAAAACTTTCTTTAAAAAGTTGAGAAAGCTATTAATGAGTTTGCCTTTATAATAGTCTAATTCATTATTCCATGTCAGTGTTCCTTAGTGCAACCTATGGGCGACCGACCACATGGCGGAACTAGAAAGCAAGCTCTGCTTCTCTGACAACCACGTGTCACTGCCATGTCGTTGGGAGACAGCAGCACCATCTCAGACGTCTTTACAGTTTTCCTCAGAAGGAAGCCTGATGCTTTGGACAGAAAGGGTTTACAGGAACGTAGCATTCTCTAGTATTTTTTTTGTTTTCAAAAAATGAGTTTTGACTTTTTAAGCATTCTCAATTGAAACTAGAGCCTCGGATGATGGAAGCCTGTGCCCCACCACTGAGCTCTGTTCCCCAAGTATGCCAGAACTAGGGGGGAGCTTGAGTGAAAGCCATTCAGCAAAATTTTCTCTGACCATAACAGAGGGGAGCTGTTTTCATTGGGGCTTTTGTTTGTCTGCTTTGTTTTTTTTTTTTAAATATTTATTTATTTATTATGTGTACAATGTTATGTCTGTGTGTATGCCTGCAGGCCAGAAGAGGGCACCAGACCTCATTACAGATGGTTGTGAGCCACTATGTGGTTGCTGGGAATTGAACTCAGGACCTCTGGAAGAGCAGGCAATGATGCTCCTAACCGCTGAGCCATCTTTCCAGCCCTGTTTTTCGCTTGTTTGTTGGTTTTTTTGGTTCGGTTTGTTGTTTTAGTTTTCAGTTTGGTTTTTTTTGAGGGATCCAATGTATCCCAGACGGACCTGGAACCAAAGGTGAACATGAACTTATGCACCTCTGCCTCCCAGGTGCTAGAATTTTTCTTCTTTTCCTCCATGCCTTGTTTATATGGTGCTAGGAACTGGGCCCAGGGCTTCCTGCATACTAGGCAAGCACGCTACTAACTGAAAAACATCCCCAACCCTGGAAAATTCATTTTAAAGATCATTTATAAGCCAGACAAGGTAGCACATGGCTGTAATCCCAGCACTTGGGACACTGACGAAGTGGCGTGGCCTTGAGTTTCATTCAGGGCAGACCAAGCTACACAGTTAGTTCAGACTTTCTTTATAAATAAATAGTTAAAACCTGTGTGATGTGAAAATAAGCCATTGTCTGTTGTTATTGAAACAGACTCCTGGCTATGTTGTCCCCTGCCTCAGCCTCCTGAAAATCTGGAACTTTCCATACTGGTGCATATCACTGTTATCATGTAAAGTCATTTGTTCACTGAAGTACTAGAATCCATTCATTATCCGGTGAGAGACCACGAGCCACATGGTTTTATTGAAATTGTATTTAGCATTTAAAAGTGGACATATGGCTCTTCAGTTATGGTAATAGCCACATGAGCCTCACGGCCGCCTTTTCTGTCCATGGTGACAGAAAGTTCTAGATGGCATAAACAAAATGGTAGTAACCATTTTAAAATTTACAGTAGACAGGCCACAGTAGCACACACCTTTAATCCCAAACACTGGGAGGCAGAGGAAGGTGGATCTCTGAGTTCAAGGCCATTCTGGTGCTAGTTCAGTACAGCCAAGACTACATAAAGAAACCCTGTCACCCAAAACAACAACAAAAATGTGTGTGTGTGTGTGTGTGTGTGTGTGTGTGTAATGACTTCATATGCTTCTGAGATCATGTTCTTGTTCTGAAGTTTTGTAGGAAGTCAGCACTGGAATCTGGGTTTTCAGATATGATGGCACAGGACTAAGCCCACACATACTCAGTTCATAAAGAGCTGTGATTTCTGAGATCCATTCCTGAATTATTTTGTTCCAGTTTTTGGTCGCCATCAAGTGTTAGATTTAGGCATTGCATTTAGGTGAACCGGTTAACAGTTTCTCAATGAAAGTGCCAATATGTATTTCCTAACCGATTCCCTTCCTTGGGAACAGAACACAATGTTATTTTGGACTCTTATTTGGAAAACTTGATAAGTGAACTTCTTGGTATGACTTAGTGAGGATGTACCCAAGACAAACTGTCCTGTGGAGCAGGAATATTTATCCTTGGGTCCATTTCTGCCTTGGCACTGACATGTCGCCCTTCATAACTCATTAATCATCCACACTCAATTCAAATGGTACAACTTGCTAATGGGAAAAACTAGGACTCTTTTTTTTTTTAATCTTTTTTTTTTTTGTGGGAAGGGGAATTCTTTTTTTGGATACGGTTTCTCTGTAGAACAGCTCTGGATATCCTGGAACTTGTTTTATAGACCAGGCTGGCCTCAGACTCACAGAGATCTGATGTAGGCACCTGCCTCTGCCTCCTGAGTGCTGGGATTAAAGGCATGGCCCACCAGACCCAGCTTGACAAGCTATTCTTAAACATGTTTTTACTTCAAAACCTAAGTGACATTATAAAAAAAAAAAAAAAAAAAAAAAAACTATATTCGGAGAGAGGATGGGGAAAGCTGGCCGTACTGGGCTAGGATGAAATATATCAACCTGACTTTTATACACCTTCCAGTTGCTGTTTTCTTTTTCCTCTAGTGAAGAGAGAATTCTGCTGGAGGGAATGGCTGCCTCCTCGTCCTCGTCGTCAGCTGGCGGGGTCAGTGGGAGCTCTGTCACTGGTTCTGGCTTCAGCGTTTCAGACCTTGCCCCGCCGCGGAAAGCTCTGTTCACCTACCCTAAAGGAGCCGGAGAGATGTTAGAAGGTGAGCTCACGCTGTGTTTGCTGAGCACTCGGCTGCAGACCTTTAGTGCACGTGAAGTGTAAAGCAGCGGGGTGCGGGGCTCAAGCCCTTGAGTGACTCGACCAGGTTTGGCACTGGTACCAGGAGCCCTCTCCATGCCCAATGCCCAGCTCCAGGTTGCCTTGTTGTGGAGCCTGTTCGATGTATTTTCTTTTTAGTGAGTATCTACAGATAGATTAACCCCACCAGACAGGCCCGAAGGGAAATAAAAGGCAATGCATTTACCTCTGTGAAGGTGACTCTTGTGGCCAGCCCATGGCAGGACATCGCTGTGTGACTGCGTGGTTTTTATAGCACTGGAGACAGATTTGCAACCACCATCTTATCACACACTTGCAGACTGCCTGGCTAGAAATAGGTCATGAAACAGTGCTGGCGACTGGAATCCATCAGATTCATGTTAAGCTAGACTGGTAATTCATTGAAGGAGCATCAAACTCACAAGAGACACTTACTTAAAATGAGCATGTCTTGCTTGGCAGGTGAATCTCTGAATTCTAGGCCAGTCTTGTCTACACAGTGAATTCAGGCCAACCAGGGCTGTACAACGAGACCCTTTTTCTTTTCCAAAAAGATAAAATGCATGTGTCTGGGTTCGCCGTAGAGATCCTCGATTAGATTAGGACAGGAATCTTTGGTTTTTGACCAGGGTCCAGGGCCTTCTCATGAGGCAGTCTTTCCATCCTTGAAAAACATTGGCAAATGCTTTTACATGTTTTGAGCCATTAAGAGCTCAAAATCACTTGAGTCGAGCATTTTTGTGTTGAATTATAAAGTGGTCTTTTTAAATTTAAATCTTACATGGTTTGCATGGATATATTTTAAATCAATTAGAAGATGTCTCTGAGAAAGGCACCAACTATATTTGGACCTGGATTTTGGGGGGTGATCATTTATAGTTATATCAGATACTTTAAAACAGTTTCAGGTTAAACAGTGCCAAACACCATAACTGGTTTTTTTTCCTGTAGTGTTGGAGATTGAACCCAGTGACCTCATGCATGATAGGCAAGCATTCTTTGCCCCAGCTGCATGTCTAGCAAGCCAGGACAAACAGAAGAATCATTTGTGATAGAAAAACAGGCCTAGCACCATAAGGCTCTGGGGTAGATTGCTTGTGATTGGTAGTGAAGCAGCCAGCCATGTGTGATCTGGGAGATGGTGGATCAGGCATGCGCACTTCGGCCCTTGCCTTTTGTTGCCTCTATTTGTGTTAATACTCACCAGGTCTGACTGGAAGTAGAGGCTTTGTCTCCATATTTGGCACGAAAAGTAAATCTCAACTTTAACTCTCTGTAGCAGAGATGTGTCAAGAAAGTTTCCCACAGAACAAACGACAAGTTGAAGGCACTTAAGTTGCTTAGTGAGCTTTATAGAGCAGAAGAGAATCAGTGTCTAACACTGCTTCAAGGAAAAGTCATGAAGCTAGACCTAGCTGGCGTCCTGGGAGGTTTCTGTCTGGCCGTTTTCACTGCCTCATGGGGAGTTGATCAGGGTCAGTGGTAGAATAGATACGTTAGATTTAAGTGCACGGTTGTGGCCTCCTGCATCCCAGTTGTCTTAAAAACTGCTTACACTGAAAGACAGGCTGGAAAACAACTGACTTGGCCAAACCAAGGATCTGACATACCATTTAATATCGAGAATAGAAAAAAGGACTGGTGAACCATTTCGCCGCGTAAAAAGTGCCTGCCACCACACCTGACCACCCGGGTTTAATCCCTGGGTCTCATGGTGGAAGGAGGGGTCTGACTCCCAAAAGTTGTCTACCGACCACTCCACAACTTCCAATACATGAATGAATGAATGAATGAATGAATGTCAAATTATAAAAATTGAAAAGTCCACCATCACCCCACAAGTATATGCTGGGGTGTGATTCTGCTTTACCTCCCCTCCAATGAATGCCACTCCTCTGTTCCACACATGCCTCATCTCCATGGACACTGAGGTAGGTCATCAGGTGCTCGGGTCTCTTCCGGGAAATGGCATGGTATTTACATATGGCTGTGCATATCCTTCTCTGTAGCACTCCTCAATGTGCGTTGACAATGGTGTCAGATTTGGAGGTGACACTGATGTACAGTGAATATGCATGCATCAAACCATTTTTTGCTTCGTTCTTGTGTTTATTTTTGAGTCTCGTGTAGTCCAGACTGACCTCTACCTCCTTGAACTCCTTATCCTCCTCCTACTTCCCAAGTACTGAGATTACAGGTCTATATTACTATGTCTGGCTTCTTCCCTGTTGGGGACTAAACTCAAGGCGTAGTGCCTGCTAGATAAGGTACCTTACCAACTGAGCTGCGTGCCAGGCCCATTTTTCAGACATCAGTGTCATGGAAGAGGAAAGTGGAAACAAGCTATAGTGATGGATTCGGGTAATCCCAACACTCAGGAGGCTGAGACAGGAGAATGACTGTGAGTTCAGTGATAGCCTATGCTACCTAGAGACTTCCATACCAGCCTGGGCATTGAGTGGGACTTTCTAAAACGGAACAGAGCAAGGTTGGCTTTGAGAGTGAGGAACAAAAGCTTTAGGAGTCAAGGTTGGGTGTGTGTCAGAATCCCAACAGGTTCGGGCTGGAGAGATGGCTCAGTGGTTAAGAGCGTTGCCTGCTCTTCCAAAGGTCCTGAGTTCAATTCCCAGCAACCACATGGTGGCTCACAACCATCTGTAAAGAGGTCTGGCGCCCTCTTCTGGCCATCAGGCATACACACAGACAGAATATTGTATACATAATAAATAAATAAATACTTTAAAAAAAAAAAAGAATCCCAACAGGTTCAACTTGATGTTGCCTGCTCCTAAATCTAGGATAATAAATCCAAACAACCTGTAGTTAATCTCTCACGTTAACTTTTTGGTGCATCTGCTGTCTGCTAACAGCAGTACGAAGCAAGCTTTAACAGTCTCCTACCCTCCGCTGAGATTGTTCTCACCCAGTTATTAGGGAGCAAATGAGAGGCTCCAGAAGTGGCTGTGTTTGAGGAACCTCACTGGCCGCTGGTTTATAATCACCCGGATTGTCTCATTTCCTACTGTGAAGTAATACCCTTCAAATGAATTTCCGTAGCCTTGAATTTAATGAAATTAGTGTTAGATGTGGGCTCGTTACTGAACTTTTTCACCCTGATGCACTGCTGCCCAGTGTTTTGATTACGGTTGTAAATAGAAAGCAGGTCACCTGGCTGACTCCGCTGGAGAAATCCCAACCTTTAGATCGGTAGATGTTACATCAGATAGGGTGTGGCTTAAGAAGCAGTGGACTTTGTAGTTAACACAAAGCTACACGTGCGCAGGATGCATTCTCTCTCAGGCCTGAAGTATGGGTACCCAGGCACCTTTTTTGGAAACTGTGCTTCTATATTTTTGCCTTGGACCTCATCACCAAGAAAGATAGGCCAGTGTGATAATTTATAGTGATGGATTCGGGTAATCCCAACACTCAGGAGGCTGAGACAGGAGAATGACTGTGAGTTCAGTGATAGCCTGTGCTACCTAGAGACTTCCATACCAGCCTGGGCATTGAGTGGGACTTTCTAAAACAAAAGGGAACAGAGCAAGGTTGGCTTTGAGAGTGAGGAACAAAAGCTCTCAAAGTGGGAGGCAGCACTTCCAGGAGCTTTCCCACGGGCCACTTGATCCTTACAGCCCACTTCCCACAGTTCAGGATCACACCACCTGGGAAGCCAGCTCTGCTTCTCTATGCTTTGCTCTTTGCAAAGTAAACCCTGAGTTGTACTTGAGCTCTTAAGAAGGATGCCAGTGTGTGTGTGTGTGTGTGTGTGTGTTGTTTACCTGCAAGAACATCACAAACTGGCCTGAGAGATGGCTCAGCAGTTAAGAGCACTGGCTGCTCTTCCAAAGGTCCTGAGTTCAATTCCCAGCAACCATATGGTGGCTCACAATCATCTGTAATGAAATTTGGCGCCCTCTTCTGGCATGCAGGCATACATGGAGGCAAAATGTTGTATACATAATAAGTAAATCTAAAAAAAAAAAAAGAACATCATAAGCTGCTTCATTGGTGCCAAGTTCACGAAACTCCCTTCCCTGGGTGGAATTTGGAGTTATCCACTGCTCTCTGCTCTTACAGATACGCATTATGATGTCATCAGCTTGTCTAGATCTTTACACCAGTCAGAAGCAAGGGGTGCAGCTGAGCAGCAGTTAGTACACCTGGCATGAAGGCAGTGCTCTAGGCTTGACCCCAGCACCACGAGAAAGAAAGATGAGAAGCCAGGAATGGGAAAGAAACGTGAACTTACAGACTGCTCAACCTAACAGTGATTTCGATCTCTCTCTCTCTAATTTGAAGTTAATAGACATAGCAGGAAGCCTTTTTTGGTTGTGTGTTCACACCATTCATAGTCAGTAGCTGTGCTTTTCCCTTTGACTACCAGGACTTGGAAAGAAAGGTCTGTGTGAAACTCAGCGGGAGGCCAGAATGTGTTGGTTGCTCCCTGTCGCTAAATCCCCGTGACACACCAATCCCCCGGCTGATGAGTGAGTGCTGACATCTAGCAGCGCTAGTGTGAACTGCTACCTTGAGAGAGACAGCTGTGTCCTCTCTTCCCGTTTGTTTGAGAACTTTGCTAATGAACCACCTGTCCCCGGGGGTTTTGCTGCCCTTTAAAACATGGAATTTTCCTACGTGAATTGTGTGTCTTTGGGGATGTGTGTTTTGCTGGATCAGCCTTTGCACTGACGAGTGTCAGGTTTCCCAATCACCCTCTGAGTGTCACGACGACTGAGCTAGCCACCTTCTTGTTGGCAGGTCTTGGCACCAGCTCAGTGCTAAGGTCTGGGCTTGCACCATTCCCTGATCGTCATTCAAATTGCATGCTTGGTTCAGTCGGAAAGTCAGGGCTACAATTTGTGTTTATAGGATGAAGTTTCCCAGCAGGGTTTTGTGATGGTCATGGTGATACAATTTGATATATTAAAAGCCGACAGCTCTTTTCCCCTTGGCTCTGTTTCTTTAGAATAAAAGTGATTGGAGTTTTGTCGTAAGTCACACAAGTACCACATAGCTGGGTGTGTCAGCTGCCTTGTTTGCCTGCTGTTCAGGTCAGGAAGGGGGCAATGGTGACCGGGACATCAGGCTAAGGTTTCTTGTTTTTGTTTTTGTAACACTATTTTTGAACTCTCAAACAAATAGGACTTTTTAATATCCTAGCCATAGAAGAGCAGCCTTTGCGGAGCAGCGTTCTAAAAGGACCCCTCTGCTCACACCAGAGACGTCTTAGACCTCAGCTGTAGAAGCGGGAGAATGGGCAGGCTCGCTTGCTTTTCCAGAATTTATTAAAGCTAACGCCTGTGCCCTTTCTCTTGTAGACGGCTCTGAGAGGTTCCTCTGTGAGTCGGTGTTTAGCTATCAGGTGGCGTCCACGCTTAAACAGGTGAAGCATGGTAAGTGCATGAGCTGCTGTCCTTCCTACAAACGCGTGTTCATGGGAAGCAAGGGGCACACGTTCTGAAAGGTCACTGTGCTGTGACAGAAGCCACAAACTGTTTAAATGACTTTCTGAATTGAACACTCTTAAGATCTTGTCCAGATTACAAACCCCCATGGAGGTTTGAAGTCCTGGTTCAGTTCTTTCAGGAGTCACTGCTTCCTGCTCCTCTGTTCCTTTACCTACCCTTTGTGAGACCTCTTACTGCTTACTGCCCTGGTGTCCGTGCAGCACCTGCCCTGTCCACGCTCTGAGCCCTCGGTGACACGTACACTTCACCAAGTCTCCATCATGGATCAGGAACCATGTCCCCTCCTGCCCACTCCTCCTAGGAGAAACCCATGGGAGCTTCTGAATGAATCCCTGTGGCTTGGAGAGCAGGGACCTGTTTATACTGTGTTTTTGTTTTTAGGTGTCTCCTGAGTGCTGGGGTTACAGACATAGCCGCCAAGTCTACCTCCATTTTTTAGAATCTAGAGTATACTGAGAGTGTGATGACGGGCAGTGTCCTTTTCCAGTGCTAGGGCTCAGACGAGCGTGACACTTGCTGGCCATGTGCTCCACCACTGGGGCTCAACCAGCCTCTAAAAGTGGGGTTTTGTTTTGTTTGCTGTTGGTTTTTTGTTGATGTTAATTTTGATTTTTTTTTTTTTCTGAGACAGGGTTCTGTGTGTACCCCTGGCTGTCCTGGAACTCATTCTGTAGACCAGGCTGACCTTGAACTCAGATCTGCCTGCCTCTGCCTCTGGGATTAAAGGCACGTGCCGCCACCACCCAGCTGTATTTTTTTTCCTTTATTATTTTTATTATTATTGTTTTCTCACTCTAGAACTCACTATGTAGTCCAGGCTGGCCTAGAACTCTGAGCAATTCTTCTACCTCCGCTTCCCAAGTACTTGAACCAGCACTCCTTGCTTCTTGCTACTTTTAATCTTCTCTCTTTCCCGCCCTCCCCCATCTCTGTGTGTGTATCTCCCTTTACTGTATCTGTTTCTCTGTCTCCCCTCACCCCCGTCTCTGTATGTGTTTATGTCTGTCTGTCTTTCTCTTACATGTGTTTTTTTTTTTACTTTTTTAAATGAAGACAGGGAGAGTTTATTAAGGAATTTGAGAGTCTTGCTACAGGGAGCTACTTCCATACAGAAATAGAACCCTGCTTTCTTTTGGGGGAAACGGACAGGAAACATTAAGATACAGATTTAAGCATAGAGATTTCTAGAAAGAGACCCTTAGGAAAAGGAGAGTATATACCTAGGAGAGTCACACCTGTATTTCTTAATATTGCATTTAAAATTATTTTAATATAAAAAGCTTTCCAGACTCAGAGAAAGAACAGATTTGTCAAGGAAAGGGTTGAGCCTGAAGGGAGATAAAGGGATGGAGGACCTTGATGGATTAACACAGCAGGAGAAAATAGAAAAACATTCAGATAAGGGGCTGGAGAGATGCCTCAGCAATCAAGAGCACTGGCTGTTCTTCCAGAGGACCTGGGTTTCATTCCCAGGACCCACGTGGTGCCTGGCAAGCATCTGTAACTTTAGTTCCAGGGGATATGACACCTTCTCCTGGCTTCTTAGACACATACACATATACACATAAATAATAAAACATAATGAGAATGAGTGGATTCAGGAAGACACCAATACCAACCTCTGACCACTAGGTGCCTGACACACATGCACACACATGTATGCACACACATCAAGAGCAGTACTCACGGAAGCTGATGCAGCTCAGTGGTAGCACTCGACCCCAGGTTCAGTCTCCACCACTGCAAGCAAAGGGGAGAAGCAGTGCAGATGAATGGAGAATGGCTGGAAGCGTTCCTGGTCTTCAGACCTACATAAAGTCAGACCCCATTACCAAATGTCAAGTGGGAAAGCCCAGCCACAAGTTCTAGACCAGGGGTCACGTTTGTGAGTGGTGACGATCTCATGGGAAATGGCCCTGTTGTTTTCTGCCCCTTCTGACTCTTTACAGATCAGCAAGTTGCTCGGATGGAAAAGCTGGCTGGCTTGGTGGAAGAGCTGGAGGCTGATGAGTGGCGGTTTAAACCCATCGAGCAGCTGCTGGGGTTCACGCCCTCTTCGGGTTGATGTCGCCTGCATGGTCGCTCCTAGGGCACAGCCACCCAGAGATTCACAGCTGTACTATGAGCTGCATGTCTGAATTCACATCCTAACTTGGTTCCTCTGTTTCTGTTATTAGGCCACAAATGCTCACGTGAGATGTTACTGAGAAGTCTTTCACATGTTTGCTTCTAAAAGTATTGGGAGGCAAGTACAGGAGGATCTCTGTGAGTTTGGGGCTAGCTTGATCTACATAAAGTTCCAGGACAGCCAGGGCTACATAGAGAGACCCTGTCTCAAAAATAAAAAAAGTAGCCGGTGTTGCACGCCTTTAATCCCAGCACTTGGGTGGCAGAGGCAGGCGGATCTCTCTGAGTTCGAGGCCAGCCTGGTCTACAAGAGCTAGTTCCAGGACAGGCTCCAAAAGCTACAGAGAAACCCTGTCTCGAAAATAAATAAATAAAATAAAAATAAAAAATAAAGTATTGTGGATCAGATTAAGGCAGTCCTCTTAGGGAAACAGGAGGGTTGGGATTTCAGAGATAGTTATACGAGTCTCCCAAGCCAGACACACGCCAGAGTTCGCCAACTGATGGCACGTGTCCTGTCATTCATAGAGCACCTGGAAGCTTTCTCCAGTCAAACCCAAGGTCAGGATCCGTAGTCTCACGGTCACGGCCCAAACATTTCTTATCACAGATGAGTATGATTTCAGCTCAGGGTCTATCCAGATGGGGGATTTTAAGGTGTTCTTTCTCCCTCTCTTAGACATTTAAATGTTACAGATTATATTTCTCGCCTCTTATGATATGCTAAATGGTGCTACCCCACCCCATTCCTGCACCCTAAAATTGTTTTTTGAATTTTGCAGCACTTGAAAAAATAAAGTGACCTAATTCCTTTTAGATCCAGAAATCTTTAGTCCAACTCATTGGGGATAGTCTGAAGCCAATGAATCTGTAAGAGTTCCAGATTGGCACACTTGCCCTTTCAAAGTCCGAGGGATTTGGGACAGAGAAAGAGGTCAGATTACTTTTTTGTTAGAGTCCTAAAGCCATTTCTCTTAAGTAAACAGTAGTTTTGCTTTGCTTACAAGCTGTTTGCTGATACGGTGTCCACACTTCTGCCGCCTCAGTAGGTAGGATTGATTCTTCCGTTTGTTTGGATCCTTGTCTTGCTCTCTAACAAGGCTGGCTTCAAACTCATAGCAGTCCCCCTGCCTCAGCCTACTAAATGTTAGGATTACCCTCCTCTCTTCATTAGGTTTTTACCCTATGGTAGAGGAAAAACCTGGAAGATAAAGAGGTTGCTTTTGTGCCTAATCATGGGACCCCACACTTGACAATTAGGCGGATTACTGTTTTACGTACAGGTTGCCCTAGCCAGCGTTTACCTTTCTGCTCATCAATTAATAATTTGCACCTGATCTGCTTAGAGTTGCTAAATTATAAATAAATTTAATCCTAGTAGCAATTGGCCTTAATCTCAGGAGTTCAAAAATTTAACACACACTCCCTGACAGGGAGGAGGAGTTGACCTTGGTAGCGGCTGATGGATTAAGGAGTCCACTGTTCTTGTCTGAAGCAGTCCAGAGCTTGAGAAGTGCCAGCCCACAGCCCTTGGGTCAGATTTTCAGCGAGTCTAGAAGCTGTCGCCCTCATTTCATCTGTGAAACTGCAGCACTGACTCACCTGCCTTTACCCTCTGGCATTTGGATTTCACAGTTTTTACAGTGTTTAAGGAGGGTGTTTCTTGATGTGACCCTGGATGTTAAAGAGAAGCCAGGCTTGGTAGCACACAATTTAGCACCTGGGAGGAAGCGGGAGGATTAGGATTTCATAGCCAGCCTGGGCTATGTGAGACCCTAAAGAGAAGCTAGAGGGGGTAGAGAATAGAAGAGGGAGCAGAGAGAGATGATGAGATATTGAGGAGACCTGGGCTGAACAGGTCTTCATTCATGAATTTTTGGTGCGACTCATCCAGCTGCATCTCCAGCGCTGCCAACAGAACCCTGCCTACTTCCTGAAGGTGTTCTGTGTCTCTGCACCTTTCTGTTGGCCATTGTCTCTTACCCACAGTTCTCCTGTGCTTTGGGTTAGAACTGGACTGTCTGACTCTTCTCCCATGTGTGCACTTACTGTGTACCAGTCACTAGCGGCCCTTAGTTACCCTGTCTCTGCACGCAAACTGTATGATAGATACCCTCCAGCACACACCATGAAGAGGACCTTGGAGCCCAGAGCAGGTCAAACACTTCAGATCCAGTCTGCCAGCCCCCAAAGTTGAGACTGTTTAAAACATCCTACTGTATTCCGGTGACCCCAGCCCTAAACCTTGTACAATGAAAACGTCAGGGGCTGGGACAGTGACTCAGCCAATAAAGTGTCTCACAAGCACAAGGGACTGAGTGTGATCTCCAGAACCCACATAAAAGCCAGGCATGGCAGGCATGGTAGCTCACACTCAAACTCTGGGCAGGCAGAACTAGGCGGATCCTTCAGCCTTGCTGGCAACCAGTCTAACTTAATTGTCTGTTTGATTTTGTTTGTTGGGACAGGGTCTGTGTCCCCAGGTTAGTTCTGAACTCAAGCCTCATATAACCCAGGCTAGTCTTGGACTCCTGATTCCCTTCCCCCTACTTCCAAAGTAGAATTGGCAGGTATATGCTACCAAGCCAACAAGAGCTTTCCATTTTTAACTCTGCATTTAATTACTTAGTATCAATGCTAAAGTTCAGAGTTTAGGAGCTAGAGAGATGGCTCTGTGGTTTAGAGCACTTGTTGCTCTTACAGAAACCTGGGTTCCATTCCCAGCACCAACATTGTGGCTCACAACCGTCTGTAACTCCGATTCAAGGGGACCCAATGATTACCTTCTTCTGACCTCTTCAGGCATCAAGCACAAATGTGGTACACGTGCAGGTAAAACATTCATACACATAAAATTAATCCTTAGTAATAATAATAGTGAAGTACAGGTTTTAGAGTAGGGGTTTGTTGGATATATTGTCTTACCCAAATTGACCCCAAGCTTCTGGGTTTAAGTGGCCTTCCTCTTTCAGCCTCCCAGGTAGCTGGTGCTACAGATAGGTACAACCACACCAGCCAGAGGCCCAGAGTTTCCCATGATGCATGTTAGAGTATTTGGATTTTTTGTTTGTGTTTTGTTGTATTGTGGTATATGTGTGTACACATGCCTGTGCAGGTGCATGTGTGCAGCCATGTGTGCATGTGTGTGAAGACCAGAGGCTGATAGCGGGAGTCTTCCTCAACCACCCTCCACCTTCCTTTTTGAGACAGGATCCGCCCGACTCCCCTGCAGTGGGATTACAGACAAACTATGTACCTAGCTTGTTATGTAGGTCCGGAGGCCGTCTGATTCTCATGCTTACGTGCATTTTACTGACTAAGCCACCTACACACACACCTTTTTTTGTTTTGTTTTTGACACAGGATCTCTTGTGGCTGACGTTGACTTTGAACCCCTCCCCTGGCCTCCTCCTGTTCCTGAGTGTTAAGGGAACAGGCACAGGCCCCCAGGTCTGACTCAAGGGTAGTAGTTGTAGCTTCTGCCCGTCAGTGCCCCGGGCTCTACGCCAGCTTCTAAAGCCAGGAGCTTTCTTTACCCATTTGTGCGCAGCTGTGGCCTCTCCTTCCTCACATGGTTGAAGCCCCATCCTCTGTTCCAAGCCTGGCAGAAACTCTAGGCTTTAGAGCGGAAAGCCTTTAGCTCTGTAGAGGAGGAGCTGGAACCAGGAGAGCTACCATGTTGAGGGAAGACTCGGTGCTCCAGGCAGACCTGAGGGACCTTGGCCTCAGGCAAAAGTGCCTGCCTCTCTGTGTTCTTTTGCCAAAGCACCTAATTGTGCCTAAATATCTTGACAGGCCTATTTATAATTGCCTGAAGTGCCACATGGGAGATAAGCCTTAAGTGACAGATACTTGAGAGTTAAATCTTGGGCTGCAGGCAGAGCATAAATAACACCAGATTTTTTCCTGTTTTCCCAAAGCGGAGAGTGGGTAGGAGATGGTTCCAGGGGAGGAAGAGAAGGTAGAGGGAGCTGGCTGGAGCTTGGTGCTTTGTACACTGACCTTCTGTGCGTCCCTTATTAGTACCTGGGGAAGGGGGTTCTTACAGCTAGAAGAGGTGAGTTCACCTTCCTTACAAAACAAGAATCTGCTGTGACTTCTGGGTCTTCGGTGCCTAGGAACTGCATGGCACATAAGGAAAATCTAACAGGGCTGGAGATTTGGTCAATGGTAGAGCACTTACCTAGCATGCACGCAGCCCTGGAGTCCATGGCAAACACTGCAAATATAATATACGTGTTTAGTGGATCTTTTTTGTTTTCAAGTGCTGGAGTTTGTTTTAGTTACTTCTCTTGACCCGGTGACCAAATACCTGACAGATTTCACTAAGTCAGGAGAGGTTTATTTCAGCTCACGGTATGTTTAGGGGACATTGACACAGGGAAGGCACAGGCTAGACCTGGCTTCTGGCTTTGGGAGTATAGAACAGCTGCCAGTTACACAGCTCCAACCAAAAAGCTGAGAGCCAGACCTTTGGAAGCCAAGCAAGCCTATAAATGCTCACAGCCTCTCCTTCAGCCTGAAGTTTGCAAGCCAGGCCTTGTGTTCAAAGGATTCTCCAACCTTCCAAAACAGCACCACCAGCCAGGGACCACGAGTTCAAACACAGGAGCCTGTGAGGGACTTTTCACATGGAGACCATAACAGGATTGAGCTCAGGGCCTCACCTTTGCTAGTCAAGTGCTCTCCACTAAGCTACAGCCCGAAGCATTTCTGTAGTCTAAAAAACTACTAGCAATTTCCAGTGCCAAATCTACAGTGGGGCACCCAGAAACTACGTGGCAGAGGCCAGACTACCCTAGACTCAGCCCAGAGTACTTCCTCTCCTCTGCTGCACTGATGGTCTAAACTGTGGAACAAACAGAAACCTCAGATTAGCTGTGCAGCACATGATGCCATCAGGGCGATGAATGAAGGCCAGGGGTGTTGGTGGCTTCCTGCCCACCTGCAAATGGCACGGTGGCAGTGCCATGTGTCAGCATCCACAAGCCAGTCTCTCCTCCACACGTTAATTTTCCAGTCTGTCCAGTCCCCCTAGGAGCTGCTTTCCCAAGCCAGCGTGTGTCACTGTTCTGACACACTGTCCAGAGCAGGTGCTGAAGCGTGTAGGTTATTGCCTCCAGAAAGGGAGGGAGCCCCACCACGCACAGTAGGCACTAACTGCATGTGTAGCATGTGGTGGTCTGTTGACTGATGGGCCGTGTTGCAGGGGAAGGCATAATCATCAGCCCCAGGCAGTCGGTGGAATCAGCATGCACAACAAAGGAACTTAATTAGAAAGTTTGGGGTGCTGTACAATACTACAGCAAAGAGGAGTGATCCAGCGGGGTCCCAGAGGTGTTCCAGAAGGTTAGGTCAAGACCTGGAGAAAACACAGGTAGGGAAGAGAAAGAACTTCCTAGGTCGAGGGAATTAAATGTGTACAGAGCCCTGAGGTGAACTCTGACCTTGACATCTCTGCCTCGCCCCAGAGACCACAGGAGTGACGGGGGGGGGGGGGGGGGGGGGGGGGGGGGGGGGTACCAAGATCTGGTTCTGGTGCAAAGAACCATGGTAAACAACTGGTAGCGGGAGGATCCCGGAGAAGTGGTTTTGGGGGTCAGAGAAATGGCTGCAGCTTGAGTTGAAGACACAGAGACGGGAGGGTAGATTTCAGCCAAATTCAGGGCAGCAAGCCAGCTTTCTTGTGTCAGGTCCTACTATTCACTAAGATAAGGGTTCGAAGGCAGGAACAGCTCACAGAGGGAGAATAGGCTGTATATCAGATTCTAGATCCAACAGTCTAGAGGTGAGGAGTGCAACTCAGTGGCCAGATTGC